AAATAGGTTCCAAAACACCAACTCTCTTTTTCAGTTTCTTCACTCTTCAGCTTAATTATCACAAACTTTCTCACGTTCCCATAATATATTTATCTCTCTGAGATGTTTCATTACTGTATTCTCTCTCAAATGGGATATTTACCCTTTTCTCTATTGACATCCCAAAAGACTACAAACCAAAATACTCTTTTTGATTGCACGATGTCTCCTTTACTGGTAATTTAAAAAAAACGACAAAGATTTTGACCCCAACAGGGAAACTCCACCATGGTTATTATAGAAGAAAAGTAAAAAAAAATATGAAAAAGCTAACCTACCTGCTTACATTCCAACACTCACTTGTATGAGAGCCTGGTGGAATTTAAAAGTTTGCTCAGCTGAATAAATGAACAAACATTTCAACTGGTTAAAAACTGAGTTTGTTTTCAAAATGCTTCCCGTAGAATCCCGTTAACGAGCGCCGTTCTTTAACCAGACACCAGGAGAGTGACAATCGGAGGGCCGGTCACATGGATATTTGGTAACGGCATACATCTGGACACAGCTGGTTCACAGGCCGGTTGGGCCCTCCTGTTCCATGTGTCTGTTAGCCCGATTCTTTAGTTGGAAGCCTTAGAAAAAACAAACCAGGGTAGATCAAGAGTACAAATATGACATTTATTGGGTACAAATATGATATTTATTGGTCACAAGCAAAGTAAATCAGCTGGGCTCTCACAGACAAAAGTTCCCGGAGGATCTCAGTTGGTAAGAGCCCCAAAATTTGGGTCTGATGGACAGTTTTCCTCTGGGCCTCGAACAGGAGGACGGCTGGACGCAACCGAGAGTTATTGACCAGTTAGCTCTGACATGAACAGGCCAGGTCCTAATTCATGCAGATTTCAGTGGAATATCATAAGAAAGTGTGTGTGTGTGTGAATGTTGACTTTGAAGATGTGTATCTACTGTAACAGAGAAAAGTAGGGGGATGTGTAGGTACAGCCAGAGAGTTCAACACAAGATTAAAATTCGAAAAGGGATGATATAATTCTAAAAAGGAATAAGACAATCTCTCATTTACACGGATTAAGTTACTTATAACATACCATGCTAAAGCGAGTAGTTTTAGCCAAATTCTAACCTTTTGTATGCTGTCCTCCAGCTTCAAGACTTTTTAGTCAACATTTGATTCTGAACCAGCTAAAGATCTGGTGAGGTTCTTTAGGGGCGTGTGGAAAATATGTGTTTAATGTGAAATACAATGCTAAAGAAAGACAATTAGTGGCTCACACGAACACCGATTCCACTAAATCAGACCTTCATTTTCAAACCACGTTACATGGACATAATTTCTTATGAACCAAATGGAAAAAAAAAAAGTAGTAATTTGTTTACATACCTCTCCATAGCTCAAAACATTTGGTTAATTGCCTCGGAATCGACACCCAGAGAGGACATCATTCTAGCTTGGCTAAGTTTGCTAATCAACTGGTGGCCTCAGAGCTGGAACAGATGGCTCCTTCTGCTCTGCTCACTTTGAGGAGAAATGTATTCCAAGAGATTCTTTGCCTCATCAGAATGACTAAATCATTTCTTGCCACCGTTGAGCCTTTTCCGATCAGTGGGACTGAAGCATTTAGGTGAGAAGTGGAATCGTAAAGAGGCAAATCTTTGATAAAATTGATTAAAACAAAGCATCTGTAGCTACTGTACTCCCAGAAATCAATTCAGACATGTCTGGAAGAAACCCCCCCCCCCCCCCACAGACCCTCCAATCGACCCCCCCTCCCCGTCCAGCCTCCTGAAGATGTCAACATCGTGTCCCTCCCTTTGTTTCAGATTACGGCCAAATGAGTCCTGCAATCCGACCGGACTCTGCCTGTGGCCAATTAGTGTTTTTCTGTCACTTCTGGACCATGCCTGGGACAGTGACCACTCCAGATTGAGCATTCAGGGGGGGGGTCAAACGAGAACTGGTCCCTGGGCGTTCTGTAAATGGGATAAAACCTGCGATTCAAAGAAAATATCGTGTATTTTACGGGGACTTACTGTAATCAAACACTATATCTCACACAGATGTTAGTGTGGAGTGCCTATTGGAACATTTTTATTAATTAATTTTCAGCTTTCTGGAATAACCAAACCAGAAAAAATTGAATTTTCTGGTGTTTTCTCTTGAATGGCTGTAATGTTTGTTGTTTAATCACGCAGATTTTTCATCAGTTAATCCAAAGTCACAAATGACTGGATGGAGAAAGCGTTTTGGATGGATTTCCTAAAGGTAAGCAGCCGTGGTGGCTCTATGGATTTGTAACAGTATTTCTTTTTTTCCTCACCACTGACAATTCAGCTTTGGGGGAGGGGTTTTTCTCTCTATGAATTTGAGAGCTTCGTCAATGAATCCCTCACACTCCTGACACATTTATTCCACAGTAAATGTGCCTTTTTCTCCCCACGCACGTTTCCCCCTTTTTGCCTTTTCCTCCGGAGTCTCCTGGTCGGATGCTTCGGGGTGATCACGACTTGCCCTCCCCCCTCCTCCCCCCCTCCCCTTCCTCTAACTCCCTCCTCTCATCACGTCTGTACAGCCCAGGGCTCCTTTCTTTCCCATATGAAGAGGGGAAAGAAAAAGAAAAAAAAAAAAGCTGCTGCCACTGTAGGTGGCGGCTCCCACTTCTCTCTCCTGCTGCTGAATAGATGTGAGTTCAATCTAGGTGCCGGTGTGTGAGTGTGTGTGAGTGTGTGTGTGTGTTAATGTGTGTGTGGGGGCGTAGGAGGAGTCTCGGCGCTGTTATTTGTAAAAGCTTTTGATGGATGATTACTCTGTGTGTGTGTGTGTGAGATAGAGGCTGCGAGGGAGTCCCCCCCC